CACAAACAACATGCTGATTTAGGCCTACACCATCACTGGTATCAGGCTGTATAGCTAGCTACGTTTGCTCTGACACAGTACATTTAATAGCTAGCTAGCTAGCCAGCTAACTAGTGATTAGCATTAGCGGCTAACACGATTTAGCTAAAACGTGCTAAGAAAAAACTAGCTGTTTGCAGATGTAAGAAACACAAACTAATAGTGTAATTATAGAACGCTTGTGGATTTATATTAAGAAGCAAAGGGAAAACAACATTGTAGCATGTGCTGCATTGACCATGTAGACTGAACGCAAGTGTGTCTCGTGGTCAAGCAACAACAAATGCGCTCATTGAGTGACAGGGGGTGGGGCTAGGTCTGTGTGGAAAGCGGCATGGAGAGAGTGGAGAGGGTTGACTCAAGTAGCGGTGTAAACTATAAAAATTGATGTTACACAAGTAGGGGTGTAACGATCCATCTACTACATCAATGTATCGATTTATATTCCTATGATCCAACTACATCGATCTGTGGTCGGCGAGTTGGCCTTTTGGACAACATATATCAATCTAACATCGTTTTAAAATGTAATAAATCGATTGTATCGATACTAGGAAATAACCCATTGGATTTAAGCACGTCAGACTTTATATGGATGTTTTTTCTTAGCACTTTTAATGATAAAGGCTTTAAACATTACTCGATTCAGTCTGCCTATCCGTGACATCATCGCCCCGCGCCAGCGCAAAGGCGCAAAGACAACAAAACATAGCATGGCGGACGACAGAGGAGAAGCCGACGAGCGAGAAATTATCAAGCCACCATTGCGGTCCTTACAAGAAACAGGAATCTAGGAAACTTCACCTGCACTGTCCAGTATCCAGGTATTTATTTCAGTCACACTGGTTGAATTTTTGGCTAAAAGGTTACTGAATCGATTTCAAGTCACTGAATCGTTTCGGATCGTATCGTTCTAAATGAACCAATATCGTCCTTGAATCGTATCGACAACCACGAATCGTGATACAAATTGAATCGTTGTTAAAACGAATCGTTACACCCCTATACACAAGGCATATCACTAATAACAAACCAAACATTCATGCATCAATACCGGTATATAGTAAAATGCGGTATACCTCCCAACCCTACTCTATGGTATTGAATAAAGCTGATCAAACATTTGAGAGGGAGATGCAAGTCTAGCAAAGCAGAGTTCCCCCAGCCTTTGCTGTTAAGACGTGATAAGACAAAGCAGAAAACCAAATAACTGAATTAGCATGCTAACACTCATCATTGGTGCCAGAGCAGCACAGCGGGTCTCCTACAAGTCAGCCAAAACTGAGCAGGCTTTAGCAATGAAGAGTGAAACTGCGGTGGAAAAAGTCACTCTATGCTATGGCCTTGTGACAAAAATCATATTACAAAATCAAAGCATGTCACTTCCTTCATGCCCCTCAAATAGAGATCATCTCGGGTAGAGTGTCACTGCCAACAACAAAGTTCAATGCACTTTGGGTTGCTAAGGACATGCATCTTTTCTATGATATTTCTTGACAGCCAAGCTGGCATGGCTTCTAGAGTCAGACAGCGTCAGACAGTGGGGCTAGGTTTAGGTTGGGCCACAGGGTGTGTGAGGCAATGCCAAACACGGCTGTTAAAAACCATGCCCTCTCGCTCTCTCTGCGGTTCTCTCTCTGATAAACACGTGCAAATGCACGCGTAGTGGCATGGTGAGATGTCAGACAGAAATATCATAGAGTACACACGTTTGTGAGGGATATTCATTTCATTAGCTAAACAAAATAACCAAAATAATCCAACCGGTGCAAGACTAATGATGTCAGGGCAAGGGCACAACACAGCTTTTGGCAATAGCTAGCTAGTAAGTTAGATATGGCCAGGTCCAGAGCCTTCTTTTCTATTGTAAATAGAAAACTATGGCCAGGTCATTCCTATTGAAGCAAAGCAAAATATAGAAATTCTTAGAGCTGACATACCACAAAATAAAGAATACCTAGCTCGCAAGCTAACTGTCAATGCAGCTTCGTTAGCTAGCTAGATGGTCTGCTAGCCGGTTGGCTTACATGATTGGTTGCTAGCTAGTCTGATTAGTCAGGCTATATTAGACAATTAATTTGTATATACAGCCTGAAACTTTGTGTGAAAAATCTTGTAAATGTTCCTTACAAGCCGGAATGTTGAATAAAATTACATTTGAACTTACTCTACCGGTTGTCTGTGCAGGACTAAATATCCACAGGAAAGTATTGTTTACCTGACTTTTTAGCAGTAGGTAGGTACACTACCAGTCAAAAGTTTGGACACACCTACTCATTCAACAGTTTTTCTTTATTTTTACATTGTAGAATAATAGTGAAGACATCAAAACTATGAAATAACATATGGAATCATGTAGTAACCAAAAAAAGTGTTAAACAAATCAAAATATATTTTATATGAGATTCTTCAAATAGCCACCCTTTGCCTTGATGACAGCTTTGCACACTCTTGGCATTCTCTCAACCAGCTTCATGAGGTAGTCACCTGGAATGCATTTCAATTAACAGGTGTGCCTTCTTAAAAGTTCATTTGTGGAATTTCTTTCCTTCTTTATGCATTTGAGCCAATCAGTTGTGTTGTGACAAGGTGGTGGTGGTGGTGGTAGTGGTGGGGGGAGTATACAGAAGATAGCACTATTTGGTAAAAAACCAAGTCCATATTATGGCAAGAACAGCTCAAATAAGCAAAGAGAAACGACAGTCCATCATTACTTTAAGACATGAAGGTCAGTCAATACGGAACATTTCAAGAACTTTGAAAGTTTCTTCAAATGCAGTCGCAAAAACCATCAAGCGCTATGATGAAACTGGCTCTCATGAGGACCACTGCAGGAATGGAAGAGCCAGAGTTACCTCTGCTGCAGAGGACAAGTTCATTAGAGTTACCAGCCTCAGAAATTGCAGCCCAAATAAATGCTTCACAGAGTTCAAGTCACAGACACATCTCAACATCAACTGTTCAGAGGGGACTGTGTGAATCAGGCCTTCATGGTCGAATTGCTGCAAAGAAACCACTACTAAAGGACACCAATAAGAAGAAGAGACCTGATTGGCCAAGAAACAGGAGCAATGGACATTAGACCGGTGGAATTGGAGATTTTTGGTTCCAACCGGCGTCTTTGTGAGACGGGGTGTGGGTTAACGGATGATCTCTGCATGTGTAGTTCCTTCCGCATATGTAGTTCCTACCGTAAAGCATGGAGGAGGTGGTGTTATGGTGTGGGGGCGCTTTGCTGGTGACACTGTCTGTGATTTATGGGCGGCAGGTAGCTTAGTGGTTAAGAGCGTTGTGCCAGTAACCGAAAGGTCGCTGGTTCTAATCCCCGAGCCGACTAGGTGAAAAATCTGTCGATGTGCCCTTGAGCAAGGCACTTAACCCTAATTGCTCATGTAAGTCGCTCTGGATAAGAGCGTCTGCTAAATGACTAAAATGTAAATGTACATTTTTTTATTTAGAATTCAAGGCACACTTAACCAGCATGGCTACCACAGTATTCTGCAGCGATACGCCATCCCATCTGGTTTGGGCTTAGTGGGACTATCATTTCTTTTTCAACAGGACAATGACCCAACACACTTCCAGGCTGTGTAAGGGCTATTTTACCCAGAAGGAGAGTGATGGAGTGCTGCATCAGATGACCTAGCCTCCACAATCCTGCGACCTCAACCCAATTGAGATGGTTTGAGATGAGTCAGACGACAGAGTGAAGGAAAAGCAGCCAAAAAGTGCTCAGCATATGTGGGAACTCCTTCAAGACTGTTGGAAAAGCATTCCAGGTGAAGCTGGTTGAGAGAATGCCAAGAGTGTGCAAAGCTGTCATCAATATATTTTGATTTGTTTAACACTTTTTTTGGTTACTACATGAGTCCATATGTGTTATTTCATAGTTGTGATGTCTTCACTATTATTCTACAATGTAGAAAATAGTAAAAATAAAGAGAACCCTTGAATGAGTAGGTGTGTCCAAACTTGACTGGTACTGTATATGGTTCAGTTAGGCACCTAGGTAAAATTAGTTTTATATTGGATATTCGGTTCTCTCTCATCAATAGCTATTGAACCAAGCATGCCATGAATCAGGGGAGGATGGAGAACAATCCACACATTGTGTTTATTTTTTATTAAATCTTCCAACAACAGCAAAACACACAAAAAGGTGTTGATTGTTCTCTATCCTCCCGATATACAATTTCCATTGTCATGGCATGCTTGGTTCAATATCTATTCACGACAGAAAACCGAATATCCAATATAAAACTCTTTACCTCGGTGACGAACCCAACCATATAATAATATATGTACCTACCTGCTCTCTAAATAGTCGGGTAAACAATACTTTCCTGTGGATATTTTGTCTCAAATTGAGAGCAGCTGAAGTGAAGCACAAACCACACAGACAACCGGTAGAGTAAGTTCAAATATTCATTCTGTCTTGTAAGGAACATTTACACGATTTTGCACACAATTGTTTCAGCCTGTATATACACCAATTAATTGTGTATTACAGTCTGATTAATCAGACTAGTTGCTAACTAACTAATGCACATAATTGCTAACTAACTAACGTTAGCTAGCTTGCTTAACAACATCACATTCAACACAAATTAACTTGGTTTGCTAGTTGGCTAACTAGTTAGCTAGGTAAGGAACCTTGGACAGATCATCCACTAAAATTCATACAATGGCATCTGACTGGTTAGCTAACTAATAACACGAAATGGGCTGATAAGTGCAGTGCAGCGATTTCCTACCGACCGTCTTGTCTGCCCCCTACCAGCTACTGTTCCCAGCTAGCACGAGCCAGGCTAGCCAGAAATTCTTCCACATTTCCATTGATTGATTAACATATTTTTCTTACCTCATCGTTCGTTTTCCATTCTTAAATAATTGATAAGCTAAGGTACTGTGTGTTACTTATACGATAAAATGGAATGAATTCCCCTGCAATGGTCGATTTAGCGAGATATTTCCTCTGTAAATCCAAATTCCCTTCCACCAAGGGCCCGCCGTAAGGCTACGCAAATTGGAAAATGGGGTACCATCGCGAGATGTTGAGTTTTCTGAGGATCGGCAATATCAAACCAATCAGCGAACGATATAATATGATTGACGTAAAATTGAACTAATCACAAATAGGAACAATTTGATGGAAATGCCTTATTGGACCATAATCGTTGATTGACAATGAATTCTGTAAAAGCGATAAAACAAAAGACCAATGGGCAGCTTAAACCAATCTCGCGGTATCAACAATTTGGGTGGACGGAGGAACTAAAGGAAAACATACAAATATTTGTTGATGCATGTAGTTAGCTATCTATCTTTCTGCCCATTGTCTTTTAACTGAAGACCGTTAGCTAATATCATATGTCCAATAATACTAAATTGTAATTGTTTTGTAAGATATCTGTATACTCATTGACATGGTTTAACAAGAGTTTTTACAGTATAAGTTTCTACTTTCAATGCACAGGTAAACAAACAGCATTGCTAGCTAGTTGCTCTTATTGCGAGTGCATTTCATCTGCATGTTGACAGTTTTTCCACCATGAAAGGGCTTTACTGTAAACTGGGTGAAACCGCTGCAGAGGCTAAATTTGTCATCCAGGAAACGGTGAGTGCCCAACATAATAATGTAGCTATCAATTTAGTCTAGCATGCCAACAATTTTAGCAGGAAGGCTGATGGTTGGCTGTCTGACAAACTCACTGATTGTTTTTTCAATATGTCACAGAATGTACCCAGTGCCCTCGGTAGCAACCAGGTCAAAGTGCAAGTGAAGGCATGTGCCCTTAGTCCATTGGATATAAAAGTAAGTGTAAATGTGTGTTATACTCATTGTATTGTCAATGTTGACTATATAGACCTAGCAATAGCCCTACTGTCTCAGTCATAATGGACAAGACTTACTGTTGTAGCTCTCAATATGCTGCTGCAAATAAGTATCAGCCAAGTTGTTTTTGTTGTTGACCAAAGTATATGTGTTGCTTTTGGTCAGGGTTGCTATAGGATAGGCCTACCTTACATGACCACACATGTATGGGCTACTTGTCACATTTCCTTACCCTCTCTCCTCTGGTTAGCTCCATGGACGATCTAAAGTTGCAAACGGACCTGGTGCCAGTAGGGAGGGAGGTTGTTGGGATCGTCCTCCAAGGTAAACAGGATATCCACTTCATGGATTGTAATTTACCTTGTTTATCACTTTGATGTTTGGTACATTAATTACACAATGTACTATGTTTTTGGAGCAAACCTTTAATCTTTTGCAATGTTTTTGTTCTGTTTTCAGTTGGGCCTAAGGTTACTTTTTTCCAACCTGATGATGAAGTTGTAGGTAAATGTTACAGGTGGGATCTGAACCCGCTACATAAGGATAAATCATAGAGCTTCAAAATATCGCCTTATTTGATGATTTTGACATTGTCATTGGCAATGTTCCTGATAACCTATTGAAAGACCCTTTCCCTTTATAATTGTTGGATATTACCATGGTGTATTTATCTAGGCTTTGCTTTTCCCTGTTTCTGCATGACAGGAATTCTGCCCTTGGATACAGAGATGTCTGGTTTGTGCGATGCCGTTGTCATCAACGAGCATCATCTTGGTATGTTGCACACATCCAAAATCCAAATGTTACGTAAGAGTACATCTATAGCATCTATTAGCATTTGTTGGTACAAATTAACAAAGTAACAAAGGGATTTGTTGGTACAAATTAAGTAATTGTTTCTTCTGCAATAAATGTGTGCCTTTTGTGTTCGCTCACCAGTGCAGAAGCCAGAGAAGTTGAGCTGGGTGGAGGCGGCAGGGGCCATTCGGGATGGACTCCGGGCCTATACAGCCCTCCACACCCTAGCCCGTATGGCATCTGGGCACACACTGCTGGTGCTGGACGGAGCCAGTGTAGGTATTTCCCCATAGTGGCCCCTGATTAGTGGCCCCTCATCTGAGCATTCAATGGCACTGTAGAAATCTATAGTTGGACATCACAAGAAGATGGCAGCAAAGAATCTTAATGGTAGCACACTATTTCTCTTTAAGAGAACAAGACTACTAACCCCTATTTTGGCTGTGTTTATGCGTTTCAGCCCTTAGGAGTTCTGGCCATCCAGCTGGCCCACTACCATGGGGTTAAAGTACTGGCGTCAGCCCTGTCCTCCGAGGACCAGAAGTTCCTGGAGGAGCTTCGGCCCAGCGTTGGTGAGAACAGGGAGGGGGGCAAACGTGTGTATGTGTAAATGGAATAGCGGTGTCACAGTAGAGAAGGTGGTGGAGGTTGAGGATTGTAGATGACTGATGCAGCTGGGTAATAATGAATGCGAAGAGACAGCGTTATCACTTACCTCAACCACAAGCAAAGGCTAGCTTTTTCAAACAGAAATTTGCATCCTGTAGCACTAACTCCAAAAAGTTTTGGGACACTGTAAAGTCCATGGAGAATAAGAGCACCTCCTCCCAGCTGCCCACAGCACTGAGGCTAGGAAACACTATCACCACCGATAAATCTACAATAATCGAGAATTTCAACAAGTATTTTGCTACGGCTGGCCATGCTTTCCACCTGGCTACCACTACCCCGGCCACCAGCTCTGCACCCTCCGCTGCAACTTGCCCATGCCCCCTCCCGCTTCTCCTTCACACAAATTCAGACAGCTGATGTTCTGAAAGAGCTGCAAAACTGGACCCCTACTAATCATCTGGGCTAGACAATCTGGACCCTTTCTTTCTAAAATTAGCAGCCGAAATTGTCGCAACCCCTATTACTAGCCTGTTCAACCTCTCTTTCGTAACGTCTGATCCCCAGAGATTGGAAAGCTGCCGCGGTCATCCCCCTCTTCAAAGGGGGTGACACTCTAGATCCAAACTGTTACAGACCTATATCCATCCTGCCCTGCCTTTCGAAAGTTTTTGAAAGGTACTTGGTGGCAAAACCCTTGTTGGCAATCACAGAGGTCAGATGTTTCTTGTAGTTGGCCACCAGGTTTGCACACATCTCAGGAGTGATTTTGTTCCACTCCTCTTTGCAGATCTTCTCCAAGTCATTAAGGTTTCGAGGCTGACGTTTGGCAACTCAAACCTTCAGTGCCCTCCACAGTTTTTCATGGGATTAAGGTCTGGAGACTGGCTAGGCCACTCCAGGACCTTAATGTGCTTCTTCTTGAGCCACTCCTTTGTTGCCTTGGCCGTGTGTTTTGGGTCATTGTCATGCTGGAATACCCATCCACGACCCATTTTCAATGCCCTGGCTGAGGAAGGAGGTTCTCACCCAAGATTTGACGGTACATGGCCCCGTCCATCGTCCCTTTGATGCGGTGAAGTTGTCCTGTCCCCTTAGCAGAAAAACACCCCCAAAGCATAATGTTTCCACCTCCATGTTTGACGGTGGGGGTGGTGTTCTTGGGGTCATAGGCACATTCCTCCTCCTCCAAACACGGCGAATGAGTTGATGCCAAAGAGCTTGATTTTGGTCTCATCTGACCACAAACACTTTCACACCAGTTCTCCTCTGAATCATTCACGACCATTTCGAATCCCACCGTACCTTCTCCGCTATGCAATCCGGTTTCCGAGCTGGTCATGGGTGTACCTCAGCCACGCTCAAGGTCCTAAACGATATTATAACCGCGATTGATAATAGACAGTACTGTGCAGCCGTCTTCATCGACCTGGCCAAGGCTTTCGACTCTGTCAACCACCGCATTCTTATTGGCAGACTAAATAGCCTTGGTTTCTCAAATGACTGCCTCGCCTGGTTCACCAACTACTTCTCAGATAGAGTTCAATGTGTCAAATCGGAGGGCCTGTTGTCTGGACCTATGGCAGTCTCTATGGGGGTGCCACAGGGTTCAATTCTCGGGCCGACTCTTTTCTCTGTGTATATCAATGATGTCGCTCTTGCTGCTGGTGACTTTCAGATCCACCTCTACGCAGACGACACCATTTTGTATACATCTGGCCCTTCATTGGACACTGTGTTAACAAACCTCCAAACGAGCTTCAATGCCATACAACACTCCTTCCGTAGCCTCCAACTGCTCTTAAACACTAGTAAAACTAAATGCATGCTCTTCAATCGAACGCTGCTGGCACCCGCCCACCCGACTAGAATCACTATTCTCGCCGGGTCTGACCTAGAGTATGTGAACAACTACAAATACCTAGGTGTCTGGTTAGACTGTAAACTATCCTTCCACTCACATTAAGCATCTCCAATCCAAAGTTAAATCTAGAATCTGCTTCCTATTTCGCAACAAAGCCTCCTTCACTCATGCTGCCAAACATGCCCTCGTTAAACTGACTATCCTACCGATCCTTGACTTCGGCGATGTCATTTACAAAATAGCCTCCAACACTCTACTCAGCAAATTGGATGTAGTCTATCACAGTGCCATCCGTTTTGTCACCAAAGCCCCATATACTACCCACCACTGTGACCTGTACGCTCTTGTTGGCTGGTCCTTACTACATATTAGTCGCCAAACCCACTGGCTCCAGGTCATCTATAAATCACTGCTAGGCAAATCCCCTCCTTATCTTAGCTCATTGGTCACCATAGCAACACCCATCCGTAGTATGTGCTCCAGCAGGTATATCTCACTGGTCATCCCTAAAGCCAACACCTCCTTTGGCCACCATTCCTTCCAGTTCTCTGCTGCCAATGACTGAAACGAAGTTGGAGACTCTTATCTCCCTCACTAACTTTAAGCACCTTACCGATCACTGCACCTGTACACAGCCCATCTGAAATTAGCCCACCCAACTACCTCATCCCCATATTGTTATTTATTTTGCTCATTTGCACCCCAGTATCTCTATTTGCATATCATTCATCATAATCATTCCAGTGTTAATACTAAATTGTAATTATTTTGCTCTATGGCCTATTTATTGCCTTACCTCCATAACTTGCTACATTTGCACACACTGTATATATATTTTCTGATTGGGGTTGAGATCTGGAGACTGGCTAGGCAACTCCAGGACTTTGAAATGGTTCTTACGAAGCCACTCCTTCATTGCCGGGCGGTGTGTTTGGGATCATTGTCATGCTGAAAGACCCAGCCACGTTTCATCTTCAATGCCCTTGCTGATGGAAGGAGGTTTTCACTCAAAATCTCACGATACATGGCCCCATTCATTCTTTCCTTTACACGGATCAGTCGTCCTGGTCCCTTTGCAGAAAAACAGCCACAAAGCATGATGTTTCCACCCCCATGCTTCATACTAGGTATGGTGTTCTTTGGATGCAACTCAGCATTCTTTGTCCTCCAAACACGACGAGTTGAGTTTTTACCAAAAAGTTCTATTTTGGTTTCATCTGACCATATGACATTCTCCCAATCCTCTTCTGGATCATCCAAATGCACTCTAGCAAACTTCAGACGGGCCTGGACATGTACTGGCTTAAGCAGGGGGACACGTCTCGCACTGCAGGATTTGAGTCCCTGGCAGCGTAGTGTGTTACTGATGGTAGGCTTTGTTACTTTGGTCCCAGCTCTCTGCAGGTCATTCACTAGGTCCTCCCATGTGGTTCTGGGATTTTTCCTCACCGTTCTTGTGATCATTTTGACCCCACGGGGTGAGATCTTGCGTGGAGCCCCAGATCGAGGGAGATTATCAGTGGTCTTGTATGTCTTCCATTTCCTAGTAATTGCTCCCACAGTTGATTTCTTCAAACCAAGCTGCTTACCTATTGCAGATTCAGTCTTCCCAGCCTGGTGCAGGTCTACAATTTTGTTTCTGGTGTCCTTTGACAGCTCTTTGGTCTTGGCCATAGTGGAGTTTGGAGTGTGACTGTTTGAGGTTGTGCACAGGTGTCTTTTATACTGATAACAAGTTCAAACAGGTGCCATTAATACAGGTAACGAGTGGAGGACAGAGGAGCCTCTTAAAGAAGAAGTTACAGGTCTGTGAGAGCCAGAAATCTTGCTTGTTTGTAGGTGACTATTTATGACTTTATGTTTTGTTTACCCCATATGTAACTCTGTGTTGTTTTTTGTATCGCACTGCTTTGCTTTATCTTGGCCAGGTCGCAGTTGTAAATGAGAACTTGTTCTCAACTGCTTTACCTGGTTAAATAAAGATGAAATAAAAAAATAGAAAAACCACTCTCATCATGAAAAATACAGTAGTAAAGTACTGACAGCAACACATAGGGCCGGTTTCTCAGACACAGGTTAAGCATATTCCCGGACTGAAAAGCATGCTAGATGGAAATTCTCTGGGAAACTGGCCCGTGGTATTTAATCCTAGTAAATACTCTCTGTTTCCTCTGTCTCATTCTCCGCTTTCTTCTGACACCACTCTTACCTGTGTCACTCTTCGACTCAAATCACGCATTCTAGGAGTGCGAGAGTCTCTTGTAGGTAAGTCTTGTGTGTGTGTCCCCTTTCAATCTGCATGCCTTTTATGTCCTTATATAATAATAATATAATAATATGCCATTTAGCAGACGCTTTTATCCAAAGCGACTTACAGTCATGAGTGCATACATTTTTGTGTATGGGTGGTCCCGGGGATCGAACCCACTACCTTGGCGTTACAAGCGCCGTGCTCTACCAGCTGAGCTACAGAGGACCACATATTCAAGCAGTTGCTATATCCACCACTCTGATGTTGCTGTGTCTCATACTGTAGGTGTTTTGCCTTCCATTGGAGGACAATGGAAGTGGACTACCAAAAATGCTTCTTTATTGTTGAAACATTGTTTGGCATGTAGCCTTCATAGGTTTTCCCTGTCCTGTGTCTAGCCAGAGTGATAGGCGTGTGGGATGCCAAGGTGGACCTGGTGGATTCCTGTTTGGAAGAGACGGGCGGTCTAGGGGTGGACATTGTCATGGACTCTGGAGGTAAGAAGCCAATGTAGGGCCGTAGGTTGATGTTGTTATCCATTATGCTAGCTAGCTTTGTCTAACATGAATCATAGTGCTGTGAGTGTGTGCTTCTGTGATTTTTGTATTTTAACACAAAACAGTAAAGGGTTGTAACAGGAATAGAAGGAAAATGGATTCACTGTTGTGCCGTTGTTTTTATACCATTGACACAAGCTTAAGAGGTGTCCTTCAAAGTTCTTGTGGTGATGATGTGTGTGTTGTTCCTCCAGTGAGATTACATGAGGAGGAGCCAGAAGCCAGGCGTCTTCTGCCCTACAAGCATGACATCATCACCCTGCTCGGGGTTGGAGGTCACTGGGTTACAACTGAGCAAAATCTGCAGGTAGACTGCAGTCAAGTATTCCATCCATCCATTCGTGTTGGATTAGAGCAGCCATTTGGCAATTCAGTTCCACTAGTCATCATATGAAAGGATTTATTCATCACTACTTGTCACACTCCATACATACAATGGGTGATTGAAATATTGTTTGTTTGTTACAGCTTATTAATGTGTGCTTTCTGAGAAGTTAAACATACTACAAAAAAACAGACCATGAACGCTGCCAATGTTATGTTGGGAGGAGTGAAGAGATCTGGGTTAGATGGTGTTTCCTGTAATAATGTGTATTTATCTCAGTCCTCCCATTGACCTTCAAGTGGATTTGCTCAAGTTTGGACACAACGTCTTTGTTTGGGTTTAATCTGAGCTCGTCTGTCTTCTGTTCCTCAGCTGGACCCTCCAGATAGCCGCAGCCTCTTCCTGAAGGCCGCCTCCCTGTCCTTCCTCAACGAGGAGGTGTGGGGGGCATCCAGCGCCCGCCAGGGGAGGTACCTCCGTATCCTTTAGCCTACCCCAGCCCCTCTGGGTCAGCCTTTGGAGAGGGCAGGAATTAAAAATCTGAAATTATTTATTTGAAATAGCCTAACTATAATTCATTGAGATGAAACACAAATATTTAAATGGCAATCTGATATAAGGGGTTGAGCAGGGATAATATAATTGCTATTATGCGGGAAAAGGAAGGGATTTTTTTTCTAATCAATTATATCACGGCAACAGTAGTTATCAGTGTTCACGTCTGATCTGCCAGCCACTAAATGTCAAATCAGGCTAAAGTCGTGCTTCAAATGGCCCCGCCCGTTTTTGGGGCGATTTCAGTCAAGTTGAAAATCGCCCAGAAGTCTCTCATAGCCTGTCATGTAAAATCTATTTTTTTCAAATTTCAAAGCTTTCAATACATTCTCTATGGGTGTCTGTGGGCTTGCACTTACGCGCTTTCGTCATACGTGACGTAACCATGAACGTAACTAAGACAATAGCGGCTAGCAGCGTCTCTGTTGCGACCTGCAGTGTGGCGTTATTTTATGTTTTCAATTTGTAGACTTAGTTTACAAACATTCTGCCAACCATGGATTTCCAGTGGTTGGTTTTGGACTGATCTTGTTGATCGTGTACATACCCGCTACGAACGGACTAAATAATGAAAACGCTGCTGGCAGCGGAATCCCAATACAGCTGGGAGACTTGGCTGCATGACAGAGTCCCGGACAGAGAAGTGGAGCCGGCCGGCTTCACCCTGGTCAGAGCGGACCGCGATCCTGGTAAGAGAGCGACTCTGTACCCCGACATTGAACTGCTTTCTGTGTCATTGCGACCTTACTATCTGCCCCGTGAGTTCCCCCAATTGTTTGTTACCGTTGTGTACTGTTGATAATCACAAGTTTACTGGAGAACTGAGACCAAGTAGAGACTTTGGACAGGGTGGATATGGTATAATAAAGGCAGTTTATTCAGAGGTAAAGATATCTGGAATCGCGTGCACGGACTCGTTCGTCAAACTCTTAGGGAGAAGAGAGCCCCGAAAACATTGTGTGCAGACATTTTATACAATAAATGATGTAGGTTGAATCTAGTAGTTCTGATCTTCTGATTGGTCCTGATGAGTTGGGCGAGGTCCCCTCCACTGTTGCATTTGCTCTGAGTCGGGTTCTCTGTCTTCAAATGTTCAGCCTAAAGAGAGGGGATTTTTGTGTGTGTGTGTTTAACAGTGATGATGTGTGTGTGTGTGTGTGTGTGTGTGTGTGTGTGTGTGTGTGTGTCCTCAGAGCAAGAACTCGTGAGTTGGAAGAACTGAGAGACCTATGGCGTGGGTGTTGTCCTTGGCCACCTGCTGACAAGGCTGACAAGATAGGACTCTTTTGTCCATTGTTATAGGATAGGAACAGCATTGATTGAAAACAAACGCCCAACACAAAATGGGTCATGCACAAGATTTTAGTCAGACCAAGCTATAACATTATATATTTACTACGACAGTACATTCAACCAAAAGCTAATATAACAAAGGCATCAGAGATTATTTATAATCTGTCACAGAAACTGGAATCCATCTCCCCAGATCAGTCAATAAATGCTTCTGGTATTGACTTATATGCTGCCCCTGTCTTCATGTTGTTGCTGGACATATCTTTTTTAAAATGTGTGTAGGTCACCTAAATCATCAGAAAAATTGACATGTTAACCTTACATGCTCCTTTTCAGACATCATGAAGGATATAGTGGAGAAGCTTTCCACTGGGACCTTAAGGTACAACAGAACTGCAATAATGAGTGTGTATGTGCAGTGGTTATACTGTACATTTGTTCTTGGTACGTTGATGAATTTGTGTTCATCCTGGTGGACAGCGCTCACTTTGCCCTCCGTCTTATGCAGGCCCCAGCTAGAGGACCCGGTGCCTTTGTACGATGCCATAGTTTCCATGGAGATGGTGCAAAAGAAACAAGTCAGGAAGAGGTTGGTGATTCAACTCTGAGGCGGACAGAGTGGTCCAGCATTCTCCTTGTTAAAGACAGGCTCCCAAATTCTGCCTCTCATATTTCCTATGTATTTGTGGCCAGTCATTCCAGTACAATGTAAATATGTGCCAAGTGTCAGTTTCTAATTTTATCAAAACATATCAAATGAGATGGATATCTAATAATGTTTGTTCCACTTAGTGTAATTACATTCAGTACATTGAGGCTGTCTTTTTATTAAAATTTAAAATCTTCAAGCATGAAGCATTTAGTAATTTTTTTACAGCCTCCAACAGAGTAACACATTAGGGTCATGTTTAGTTGGACACACTGTAGCAAAACGTTTTGCAACAGAAAACAAAACATATGTAGCACCTTATATTAGAAAAATGTTTTCTTCCGTTTGGTGCCTTACTGAATGTGACCCAACTTGAATTCTACATAAACTGCAACTCTGCTTTTCATGTGTCATTTGTTACCAGAGAAATACTTGCTAAATTATTAATCTAAGGTGGGGAAACAGCAATGTCCTGTTTCTTGAGGCTTTCTGGGATTGGAGCGGAGATAACATTGTCCACCTATACCGCTCTCTGAGGGCATATCAGAAGTGTTGAGAGATGGATCACTTCCAAATAGTTTGTCCTTCCATTCAACTCTCTGTCCTCAGGTGACCCTCACTGTGATTGGCCAGAGTTAACAGGTCTGCGTTCGGTACATAACGTAATAGAACGTTCAATTGAACTGAAATGGTGCTGTACTGAACGACCAGTTGAAGAAACGGGGAGGGGTTTGGTTGTCGGTTCAAAAAGCACCGCTGGCCCTTTTAAATACGTCACTCATTGCTTCAAGCCACACCCTGGCACACCCACCGATTGGAGCAAACGTATCTCAGTCTGTTCAAGAACATTCAAGTAAGTTTGGGGGAAACTTGTCATTCGGTACAAACCGTTCCGCAACGCTGCAAACGTTCAAGCGACCTTAACACACCCCTGATGTCTTTGAGGTCGTTGACCTATCAATAGACAGGTTTCCATTGAACCAGGTTAATCTTTGCCACACGTAATGGAAATAGATATAGGTGTCATTTTCTAAAGCTCAGCAAAAAATGTATCCGGTCGACAGGTGAATTTCTTTTGTCGAACTTTCTTTATTGCGACAAATGATGACGTGAACTGTTTTTCTAATAAATGATGATTGCCGAAAACGTTAGGTTACGTGGGGCACGTGATGTCATCACAACCATAAGCTCCACTCTACATTTAATTCTAAACTCCTACTGCTAGCAAAATAATTTTCCAACTATTGCTAGCAAAATAATTTTCCAACTATAAAAATAGCACAAGTAGTGTGCTGACTTTCAAGAATGATTCGCCTTGCTTTTTTGGTTGGCTGGATGCAAGTTTCACCATCCAATTATTTCAGATTTACAGGAGTGAGTGCAAGTTTCAACCTGGCACGGACTTGCCTAGGCAGCGGATATTCGCATAGCACATAAGAATGATTAGAATATGGCAAATATTAGTCTATTGCATTCTATCCATGCTGGCTTTCGCGGGCTACCTGAGACATGAAACAGGTGGGAGGGCATACATGCTGTCGCCAATTTATTAATGCTCAATTTGTCTAAATGGGTAATGGAAACACTTCAACCACTACATTTTTATTAGACACAAAATAGTTAAATGGAAACGCACCCTTGCAGGCAATTGTCGCATCTATCTATACTTTCTAAATGTTGACAACAAAATCACTGGACAAATTAATGGAAACATAGCTAGTGCCCTTTTGGTGGCCCACTTCCATTGATTGCACTGATAATGAAACTGACATGGTTGTCTCCTCATAGAAGCATAGCCTGTGATAGATAAATAAAGTGACCAGATCTGGAACTTCATACTGCTAAATTGTGCATGCTGTTCTGTCTGCTTGGCAACAATTGTTTCTGAAGACTCTGCAGCATTTCCTGGTTAAGACCCAGAATTCCTTGCTCCTCTCGTCGTAGACATTCCACCACCGCTAGCTGCTCCTTGAGAGACGCGTCTGCCCTCTCTGTTAGTTGGGATATCTGAAAAACAGAGGATAAAGCCTCAACTCACTATTTCAAAACAAACTCATCGTCAGATCCTAGAATCAGCAAAAACCTGAATAAGCTTGCTCCACTCTACATCTGTAGGTGCAAGTATCTGTTAAAGTGGCCAATGGAGAATAACTGAACCCAATTAAACTAGAATGTTATTGGATATAGCCATGGGTATCAAGTGCAACTCACAACTACAGTACCTTGTGTCTTCATGACTTTATTTGTACTTTTTAGCTTCGCTCTGTGCTTTTGTCTATTCTCCGCATTTCTTTCCTGCTCTCGATTTGTCTGTCTTCGTGCATTTCTTTGTCCTTCTCTGCTCTTGAATTCTGTTTTCTGCTTGACCTTCCTATATCTCATCTCTGTCTATCTTCTTCATGAGTTTCTTTGTCCTTCTCTAGTCTTGTATTCTCTTTCAGACTCAATATCTCATCTTCATCCAACCTCTGAGGCTTCAGGTGATCGGCACTGTACATACTGCCTTTTTGGTTAAGGGTGACAAAGTTTCCAACTATTCCTTTTTATATATGGACCTCCAATGTCCTTGATAATCCTGTCACCTTGACAACCCTTTTTCTTGCCATTATAGAGACTGACATCTCTCGGCTTAAGTCACGCCCTCATACTTTTTCATGACACGTTTTCTGAGCGTCTATGGGTTTGCTTTTGGCTTCTATGTTGGATTTAATTTTCAGGTCTTCCCTCCCCTCTTTTTCCTACTGTACCTTGTCCAGAGCTCTAGTGTTGTCAACCATCAGGTAGTGACAAAGCCTAAGGGCTGCATCAACACTCCACTCCTCTCTGTCCTGGCTCACCATTTCCCCCAAGAGTACACTCTTCCAGAAAGGGCTGAAAGACACATTCACACACTTCAAAATCATTCCAAATTTAAGCAATCTTGATCTGTGAAAAGTACCGTACACACATTTTTGGACTTTTACATTAAATACACCCATTGATTGTTGAATAATATAATTTATAAATTCCTCATGAGATTAGTTCAACTGTCATACTCCATCAGAACTCAATTGAAGCTTGTTTCTTTACTCCATTGTTTGTAAACAATGTAATTGTAACACACTATACCTTAAACATGATTTTGATATCATGGGATGGTCAGTTCTTAGATCCTATTTGAGGGTGGTTACATTTCTCCAGCCCCACCCCTCAGCTGTTTACCCAAACAGTGGTGGGGGAGTGACTGCTTTGTTATTGTTTGAACTGCAGATTGCCCCTTTAAGAATGTTTTGCAGCTGCTGTTGATCATGTTATAAAACTGAAAGGTGATGTTTCTTACTATTGTTCTGTCCTAAGTGACAGCAGCCGGAGGGCGGTCATCAGTCTCCAGGAGGGCCCATCCAAACTAAGGGTCAAGTTTCTGTTTTAGAGAGAGAGCGCAAGTGAACTCATGGTACTGTGAATACTGGAGTCTGTCTGAGACAGCAGTAAGTTATGATGCTGCTAACACTTACGCTAAAAAGTCATTTTTCTTCAGGAAGAGTAGCTTCTGTGCCAGCTGATTGCTGTCTCTTATACAGATACACTGTTGAAGGGTACCTGGAAAACACATGAACCACAGAAAAAAAAATAAGTAAATTGGCTCTCTATCGGTTGAAAATTAGGATAGGGACAGCGTATAGGCTAACAAATTAATAAATGTATAATAAATATTACAGCAAACATAAGGCCAAACTAACTTGAGGTGCGAGCTCTAACTTTTGAATCCATCATGCATTGATGTCAATGGAGTGCAGATCTCAAGTTAGGATTGGGACCATAAACATGTAATCGTTGCTGAAAATAACTGGTCAGTGTACAGTTTTATCCCACTAAGCTAGCCCTCCTTACCTTGGTCCACATACACCACACTGTGAGGGTTTCCAGGAGCAACAAACCCATACTCTAACAGGAGACGTTGGTTGTCATGGGGACCGTAGCAGATAAAAGCCTGCTGGAATCTCTTGCAGCCTTGGACGCTACGGATCTCATAGCACCTGCTCACATGGCTGAAGCTCGCCTTTACCTGAGGACATAGTACATTTTGATACTTCACTCTGATACCTTCAATTTGAACTGTCACCAGACAGATAGTTCTGATCTGTGAAGGTAGCGTCCGGTAACTATACTGAACAAAAATATAAACGCAACAATTTCAAAGATTTTACTGAGTTACAGTTCATATAAGGAAATCAGTCAATTGAAATAAATTCATTAGGCCCTGATCTATGGATTTCACATGAATGGGAATCTGTTGGTCACATACATAAAAAAAAAAGAAAGGTAGGGGCGTGGATCAGAAAACCAGTCAGTATCTGGTGTAACCACCATTTGCCTCATGCAGCGCAACATCTCCTTCGCATAGAGTTGATCAGGCTGTTGATTGTGACCTGTGGAATTGTGTCCCACTCTTCAATGGCTGCGCGAAGTTGCTGGATATTTGCGGGAACTGGAACATGCTGTCGTACACGTCGATCCAGAGCATCCCAAACATGCTCAATGGGGTGACATGTTTGGTGAGTATGCAGGCCATGGAAGAACTGGGACATTTTCAACTTCCAGCAATTGTTTACAAATCCTTGCGACATGGGGCCGTGCATTATCATGCTGAAACATGAGGTGATGGCGGCAGATGAATGGCATGACAATGGGCCTCAGAATCTCATTTACATTACATTTACATTTACGTCATTTAGCAGACGCTCTTATCCAGAGCGACTTACAAATTGGTGCATTCACCTTATAGCCAGTGGGATAACCACTTTACAATATGTTTTTTTTTTTGGGGGTGGGGTAAGGGGGGGTAGAAGGATTACTTTATCCTATCCCAGGTATTCCTTAAAGAGGTGGGGTTTCAAGTGTCTCCGGAAGGTGGTGAGTGACTCCGCTGTCCTGGCGTCGTGAGGGAGCTTGTTCCACCATTGGGGTGCCAATCTCGTCACGGTATCTCTGTACATTAAAATTGCCATAGATAAAATTCAATTGTTTTAGTTGTTTATGCTTGCCCATACCATAACCCCACCGCCATCATGGGGCACTCTGTTCACAACGTTGACATCAGCAAACCGCTCGCCCACACGACGCCATACACGTGGTCTTCGGTTGTGAGGCCGGTTGGATGTGCTGCCAAATTCTCTAAAATGACGTTGGAGGCGGCTTATGGTAGAGAAATTAACATTAAATTCTGTGACAACAGCTCTGGTGGACATTCCTGCAGTCAGCATGCCAATTGCACGCTCCCTCAAAACTTGAGACATCTTTGGCATTGTGTTGTGTGACAAAACTGCACATTTTAGAGTGGCCTTTTATTGTCCCCAGCACAAGGTGAACCTGTGTAATGAACATGCTGTTTATTCAGCTTCTTGATATGCCACACCTGTCAGGTGGATGGATTATCTTGGCAAAGGAGAAATGCTCATTAACAGGGCATGTAAACAAATTAGTGCAAAACATTTGAGAGAAATAAGCTTTTTGTACGTACAGAACATTTCTGGGATCTTTTATTTCTGCTCATGAAACATGGGACCAACACTTTATAATAATAATAATATGATAATAATAATAATAATAATAATAATAATAATAATAAGCCATTTAGCAGACGCTTTTATCCAAAGCGACTTACAGTCATGCGTGCATACATTTTTGTGTATGGGTGGTCCCGGGGATCGAACCCACTACCCTGGCGTTACAAGCGCCGTGCTCTACCAGCTGAGCTACAGAGGACCACACTTTACATGTTGCGTTTATTTTTGTTCAGTGTAGTTAGCTTGGAATCTAAACTGAATATTGTTACATTACACTGCTGTTTCACTTCAGTGAACGGAGCGGAATTCAGTTTGGATTCCAGGTTAGTAGCGACTAAGTTGTGTTCCCACATTGTAGGTGCACTCACTGCTCTCACCTGTACGGCTGGGCAGTGGTTGAGCAGATCCAGGTAGGGGGCTAAGGCGTACACATTTCTCTCCCTGGACATGTAGGGGCTGTGTTGGTGCTCCATGTACACAGTGCGTGTGTTCACACTGCACCATGCCCAGCGCAGTGCATCATACGTGAACACACTCTCCACGGGCTGACGGAAGAGAGGCTGGAGGGAGCTGAAGAAGCCCAACGAAGAGGAGTGCAGCTCCTGAACCACGGCTCTCTGCTCCAGGGCCTTCCCACTCAGACTCCTCGGCAGCAGGTTGATGACCTCATCTGAGAAGTAAGCAGGGCACGTGTATTTTTGGGGCAAGACGTCGATGTAGGGCTTCCATTCTGCACGTTGGCCAAAATGTCTCTCAGAGATGAGGAAGGCACAGAGGGCTAAAAGAGGAGACACAGGCGGTTTCCATCTAGGAGAGGATTTAACAAAATATATCAACAAACTATAAATATAAATATTTATAGATTTTTTTAACCAGATAGCTTTATGTATTTGAACTGGACTTGAACATCAAGTTGTTCTCAGCGGAGAACGTTTTGCAATGGAAACCGTTAACTCTACAAACTCTGCAACGTGATGTAAAAGCTGTCGAGTTCCGTTTAGTTCTTAAATGGAAGTTGTAGTTAATTATTTTGAAGCAGGGTAGCAGAGAGAAATGCCTATTAACTACAACTTCCATTTAAGAGCAGCTTTTACATCAAGTTGCAGAGCATTGAGTAAACGGTTTCCACTGCAAAACATTTTTATACTGTGTGCGACTAATGAATTCACCCCTGGTGTGTGTGATGCTGTTTGCATGTGTTACCTTTCTATGTATTCACCAATGTAGCTCCTTAGAACAGTAGAGGTGGTCAAAAGGCATTTTTCAGGTAAGGAGATCACCAAATCGTCAGCCTAAAGTCAATCAGAACAAGAGTTAAGGTGTGCTGGAACCAAATTGGTATTTTAAGTAAAAAAGACAGGTATTCTCATAACCTTGATAGGCTGTAAGGTCATCAGTCCACGTCCTGTGTCTGTAAAGCAAAATAAAAGACAAAGCTGCTGGTCAGAAATGTATGAAGAACAGAGAAGACAACTCTTTATCCAGAATTTAGAGCGTTTTGGCACCTATCTTGGCTCTGAAGGATTTCTACCTGAGAAGTGTGCAGGTACTAGGAGCTTGGAGCTTAAGCCTCTCTGTTGCAGCCATCTTCTTAGAGCCACAAACTGTGGTTCATGAGATATTGTCACTGGAGAGGTAACAAACAGCACCACAAGGTAAGGCTAAGAAATAACAGTTAGGCCTACATTAACCCAATTTGAGAATTATGAGGTTGTGACTGTATTTGTTCTTAACTGACTTGCCTAGTTAAATAAAGGTACAATAAATAAAATAAAAATGATTTGCACCTGACTTAACAGTTGTTTCTCTGCACTCCCGTTTCCTCTTCTTCTTTCTCGCCCGTCTCCCATGTTGCTTCCTCCTCATGATGATGGGCTTGATGGCAAATCAGACATAGACATTCGTATTAACTAGCGAGCTCCCTGTGTTCTGATGTTGATAATAATCCCACTCATGCCTCTACAACTCACTGTCATGGATATGTTGTTTAACTGTAAGCATGTAGCTTTGATGTTTATGGCTAGCTAATTCTGTTGCTAAAACAGTTTTGACATTAGTAATATGTAGTATATCATCTGGCCAAGAAATACACGGCTGGCTAGCTAACTGTTTGACCAAGCAGCATGTGGTTGCGGTCATGGCTAGATGGAATACAGTTTGTCAGATTTACGTCTAAGGGTGCATTTTTCAGCATTTTAGCTAACCCTTTTCCTAACCTTAACCTAATTATCCTAACCTGCTACGAAAAGTCCATTCTGGTCAATTCTGACACAAACTGTATCCAATCTAGTCAAAACCTGTGGGATCACAAGTATCTCTCAGTAGGCTATCTATCGCTATCCATTTATTGAATTATGTCCAAAGTGGAAAGAAAATTATAATAGCATAGACAGATGATTATAATTGTGTAAAAGTTGATTTAGTTATTCATGCTCACCCTAAACACCCGGATCTACATCTTAGTTTGTTTTTCCGATTCTGCGCACTAGGCTGTTATTGTTACGGAAGCCAGCCAGCAAGCAGTCTGAAGTGTTCTTATTATACCTCAGTGGTTTGAAGCCAGTTGTGTGCCAGGTGACAGTATTGCACGACACGTCAAGAGTATCCCCACTGTAAAGTAAGTACATCAAAACTGCTTTACCATTGACTAACTTAACTGCTTCTGTTTTAGGGTAGTCACTTTAATGAACCGGAAGCGTATTTAGCACAAAACTAACTAGCAAACTAGAACATATCGCTAGCTTCGCAGCAAAGCGCTCGAGAAGAGTTCTGTGTCAGTCATAAAAGCTCTCAGAAAATGGGCCTTTGCCTGGAGTGTAGTTAGTCGGATTCCTTTGCAAAACGTTTTGCCATGGAAACCGTTTAGCTACTCCAAACGAAACATGTTTTGCAACGAAAACGAGTTTCTATTGGACAAATTCAGGTCCCTCCCGGTTTCGTTCCAAATCAAATTGTATTTGTCACATGCGCCGAATACAACAGCTGTAGACTTTACCGTGAAATGCTTACTTGCAAGCCCTTAACCAACAGGTAAACGGTTTCCTGCATAACGTTTTGCAACGGAATCTGGCTAATGAATACATCCCTGGTATAATCTAATTCTCTCATACACTTTTCATTTCAGGCATGCCAAAAGTTGCACTGGTGACTGGTTCCAATAAGGGGATTGGATTTGCAATCGTGCGGTCGCTTTGCAAGCAGTACAATGGTGATGTTTTCCTTAGTGGCCGGGATGCTGGCCGTGGAACTGCGGCTGTCGAGAGCCTGAATTCTGAAGGGCTGAAACCTCTCTTCCAACAGCTTGACATCAACGACCCAGAAAGTGTGCGCGCGGCCCGAGATTTCTTCAAGGAGAAATATGGTGGCCTTGATGTGCTCATTAACAACGCTGGGATTGCCTTTAAAAGTAGGGAAATAAGTTGACAAAATGTAATGGCTACTATGATTGGCCATAATGATGCTATGTGATGCCCCTTTGATCTGAGAGACAACTGATGTTTCTTTTTCTTTACAGATGCTGATACTACACCCTTTGGAACCCAAGCTGAGGTGACTCTCAAAACGAACTTCTTTGCCACAAGAGACATGTGCAATGAGTTTCTCCCCATTATCAAACCAGGAGGTAATGCTGTTAGAACAAGCCAACTGACAGACAGCTGGAACACTGATGCATAGCAATAGATTGTAGAGCCTATCCCCTGGAACAGAGGGACCATTTATGACCACACATCATCATTGTGTCTTATCACTTCAGAACAATGGTGTTGTGTGACTGCAAGTTATGTCTTGTGACCATGCACTTTCTAGGACCCTGAGTTTTTCCTGTGCCACGGAACCTCACAACCACTACCCGCTCTCTCTGAGTCATAGTTATTTTGCTGCGTCAATTGACAGTAGATACCATAACTGTTTATTTTACTAACAACACAGAGTTGTTTGTGTCTGTCCTCAGGGAGGGTGGTGAACGTGTCCAGTGTTATGAGCTCCATCGCCCTGAACCGCTGCAGCCCTGAACTCCAGGCCCGGTTCCGCAGCAATGACATCACAGAGGAGGAGCTGGTGGGGCTGATGGAGAGGTTTGTCCAGGAGGCCCAGGCAGGGGCGCACTCCCAGGGGGGCTGGCCCGACACAGCCTACGGGGTGTCCAAAACAGGCCTTACCGTGCTCTCCAGGATCCACGCCCGCAAGCTGAGGCAGGAGAGACCAGCTGACCAGATCCTCCTGAATGCGTGCTGCCCAGGCTGGGTTAGGACTGATATGGCTGGGCCCAACGCCACCAAGTCACCAGACGAAGGCGCCATCACCCCCGTTTACCTGGCCCTGCTTCCTGCGGGGGCTGGGGAGCCGCACGGACAGTTTGTGTCAGACAAGAAGGTCCAGCCGTGGTGAGGATTAGGTCATCGAGTAATGTGTGTATTTGGAGGGGTTTTCAGTCTGGCTGTTCTTATCTGTGGGAATGGGGGTTAAATGCACTGTATACATTTTAAAGGACAACACCACAGGAAAATTCAGAAATGTTGATTTTGGTACACAAAAATGTGTAAACCCAGGTGTATTTAAAAAATAATCCAATCTCACTCTAATTGTGTTTTTCAGGTCAATGGAAATAACCATGTTTTTAGCAACTACATATGATATTGTATTTATTAAACATTTTACAAACTTGAACTTATTTTCACACATTTCACACAATGTATCATGCTTAGTTAGATGTGCTTATGTGTGGGAAATACAGCACATTGTGAATGCCTTGACTTTAAAACGTGAATTTTGTTTTTATGTTCACTCGTTTGTCTTCCTTTTTATTGTGGACTATTAAAGGTGCAAAACTATGTAGAAATGTCCTCGTTTAAATGCTTTTAAAGTGTACTGAATCATTGTTCCATCTTAACTGCTGTGAAATATATTTTTCATTAATCCAAAATATCGTATTTTAAAAAATGAATGTTGGAAAAACAATTGGAACCATTTCCCTGTTTGACCACTAGGTTTTATTTGGTGTTATGACATCTCCACTGTGGGGCTCTATTGATCCCTCTATTCTGAACCCGTTCTTGCGATGTATTCTGTTGAATCTGTCAACAAAATGATGCACCGTATTTAAAGGGATGGCTTCAGATAAATGTACTGAAAACCCCACTGAATGAAAACTCCCCAAGAAAATCTCTTGGCCAGCAAGTGGGAGGGTTTTCAGCGGTTTAATGAAATCAATTCAGAGTGCGCAAGGTAGCCAGCCACACCTGCAGAGCACATTACGTGACTGAATAAGGCAAGTCTGAATACCAAATACTGAGAAGTGCGTAGGAAAGGCATAAATTCCTAAGTCGGGATCGGCCCCTAAGAGCTTTGCACACTTCGATTGTGCAATATTTGCCCATTATTATTTTCAAAATTCTTCAAGCTCTGACGGTTTGGTTGTTGATCATTGCTAGACAGCCATTTTCAAGTCTCGCCATAGATTTTCAAGCATAGTTTAGTCAAAACTGTAACTAGGCCACTCAGGAACATTCAGTCTTCTTGGTAAGCACCAGCAGTGAAGATTTTGTTTGTGTTTTGGTTACTGTCTTGCTCTCTGGTGAAAAGCTGACTGAACCAGATTTTTCCTCTAAGATTTTTGCCTGTGCTTAGCTCCATTGTTTCTTTTTATCCTGAAAAACTCCCCAGTCCTGTGGTATGGCCATTTCTCCAGACAATGCCATGAATTGTGATTGATCACAAGCTGTGCTCTGTCACCAGAAAGTCACTGACGTCATCTTCATCACAGGTCAATCTCTCATCCTTTCTCCCCCTACAGTAGTAGGCTGAACGACTCTAGTTTGACTTTTACAAATGTATCCATATATTGGTCTTTAGTGCCACCTATAGGTTGAAATTGGTGGATGGCTACATCAAACTGTTTCTCAATGTCAGTTAATAGCATACGTCAGGGTTTCCCTAACTCAGTCCTGGGGCTACCCAGCCACTGACCCCACCACGTGTCACTGCAAGCCCATGCCTACCATGAGATAGTCAAACCTAACCCACTAAACTGATTTCTGTCCGAGTCCTACACAAGAAAGAAAGACTCACATAAACACAGCTCACTAAACAGATTAAGCTACTGACAAACCAGTGTGCGTGTGTTTTTGTGTACATACAGTGTCTACTCTGGTGCCGCCCTTCTTGGTGCTAGCCAGAGTCTCTCAGTAAGTCTTAGCAAAACCTGTTAGTAACCAGACAGAATATGTTCTACTTCTGGCATTTCCTCTGCCCTTTCTTCCTCCTGTCAGCCATGGCCACTGCGGCACCTCTTGGGCAGGAAGTGGACCCAGCTGACCCAGAGGTACAGGCCTGTGTTGCCTTCGGCATCAAGAGCTTCAACTTCCACAGCCAGACTCATCAGCTCCACAACATTACCAAGTTCCACTCTGTCCACAGAGAGGTGAGAGACCTCCGTTTGACTGCAATCTCGCCAGCTCATAATTGATTTTAAGGGATCATACCTTATTGGTGATCTGTTCATAAAGACTGCAACTCCTCAGAAAGATTTAGGGAGTGCATTTTCTTCTTTTTAGGTATGGTGATTCGAGAGTTAGCATTTTTATATATGTTTTTTTTCTAATTCTGTACATGTCTTATTTTCACTTCCCAACCAGATAAACAGAGCTTTGTTGCATTTGCATTGTAAATGGAAGCATGATTTCACAATCGCTCGTGTTTGCTCTGCGTCCGATGACTTTGTGAAGTCATCGGACGCCCTTTACTCCACAAATGAAGTTGAACTGAGGTGTGTCTCTCTCAGGAGGTCGGTGCAGGTCAGTACGACATTGATGTGGAGGTGAGAGGTTGCCAGTCCTCCTGTTCTCCAGACAACTCCAACACCCAGGTACGCCTCAACCACATCTTGAACCCTCTCTGTATCATGTATTTTATGGATTTAGATTAGGTGGGGGTTTGGGGGTAGACAGAGCGACCTGAACGTCCATTACCAATAGGTACAAAACTAACTCAATTTCTCTCTGATAGATAAGGAGGATGTGAATATTTTCTGAATTCATTTCAAGAATGGCTTTGGGAGAGCCTTGCATTTCAGACAATTGATGTAGACTAGGGTCTGCAAGGTTTTTAGAGGCAATGAAAGTCATTCAAGGGCTAGCAGTATTTAGTCTTTAATCTAATCTCGTTAACAGGTGGAGTTGGTGCTATCAGCACAGAGGCTGTGCATGTTTACACTATTCACAAAGAACTTGGATATTGAAGTTTCTCTGCTATGCTAACTCCCTAATCCCGAAACTGCTTTCCTCTCTCTCATTCCAGATTTTCCGTTGTAATTTTGTTATTGTGACTGCTCCTTGGAAGAACCAGCTGATTCTGATCAAAAGCACCTGTACTCCAGTGTCTTAGGATGGACAGGAACTACTGTCTATGTGCAACTACACACGTGAAAAAACACACTTAGTATGTGCAAATTTACACATAGCTGTCAATGGAATCGTGAAACTATGAATGCATTGTGTGAGGTTGTTGCGTTTATCAGACAGGCACTATTTGGCCTAGAAAGCTAACAGACACTAACAAACACTTCTTAATCAGAATTTAACCGAACACTAATTAATTTCCTGCTAGAATAGAGTTATTTGTAAGAATAAAATCAATGTAATTACTTGAGTACTGATTAGATTGTTGTGTGGTTTCTTATAGATTGTCTAAACTACTGTTTAATATGTGCCAGTGGTGCCAGTGAAATTGAATTAGGGGCTTGATTCATTGTGCGATTGAAATTTAAAGGCAATTTCCAGCGTTAGCGGAGACTGCATTCATGGTAAACGCTGCATATGTCGGTTCAATAGGAACTGACCTTTAAAGGGCAACTGCACATCCTGATTTGGCCTCCTTTTAGATTTGATTCATTAAAGAATGCTAGCGGCCATGACTGAATCCAAACGTGAGTTGGTTTTAGGGTGTATGTGTTTGCAGGTGGGAAAAGTTAGCCAAATTATTTAGCCAATTAGCTTCAGCCGGGTGGTGTATGACCGTGGCAAAATTGATTGCACTTTGGACAGCCTATCTCCGGGGCTAGTTAAGGACCATCAATAAATTACACAATGTAACTGAGACAATATTTTCATGTTGCACACCTTTTAGTTCTCATGAAATGCTTTTTATATATATATATATATATATATATATATATATATATATATATATGCATTTATGTAATACAATTTATAGTTGGTTTGAGGTCTGGAATTTTAACATATTGTCCCATGTATATTGTGTAATTTACCAATGGTCCCTAACTAGCCCCATAGGGATATCCAAAGTCAACCCAAATTTACCACAGGCATTAAGATCGGTCTGGTGCAGCTGCACTTTAAATGTATGACTACTTGTGTGCTGCCAGCTGTGGGCATGTGGACCAGATTGAAACAAACCAACCTTCATTTACGTTGTGATGCAGTTACGACGACGAGTCTCACAAAAATGAGTTTTGGACAAGACTGACTTTATGACCAAAATTATCATATTAACACTTTATAGTCAATTTTGACAGTTGAATAAATGTTTCAGATCCCTTGACTTTTTCCACATTTTGTTACGTTCCAGCCTTATTCTAAAATTGATTAAATAAAAAAATGTCCTCATCAATCTACACACAACACCCCATTACGACAAAGCGAAAACAGGGTTGAAGAAATGTTTGCAAATGTATAAAATATAAAAAAAACAGATATACCTTATTTACATAAGTATTCAGACCCTTTGCTATGAGACTCGAAATTGAGCTCAGGTGCATCCTGTTTCCATTGATCATCCTTGAGATGTTTCTACAATTTGATTGGAGTCCACCTGTGGTAAATTCAACTGTTTGGACATGATTTGGAAAGGCACACACCTGTCTATATAAGCGTCCCACAGTTGACAGTGCAAGTCAGAGCAAAAAACCAAGCCATGAGGCTGAAGGAATTATCCATAGAGCTCCCGAGACAGGATTGTGTTGAGGCACATATCTGGGGAAGGGTACCAAAAAATGTCTGCAGCATTGAAGGTTCCCAAGAACACAGTGGCCTCCATCATTCTTAAAATGGATGAAGTTTGGAACCACCAAGACTCTTCCTAGAGCAGGCCGCCCCGGCCAAACTTAGCAACCGGGGGAGAAGGGCCTTGGTCAGGGAGGTGACCAAGAACCTGATGGTCACTCTGACAGAGCTCCAGAGTTCCTCTGTGGAGATGGGAGAACCTTCCAGAAGGACAACCATCTCTGCAGCACTCCACCAATCAGGTCTTTATGATAGAGTGGGCAGAAGGAAGCCACTCCTCAGTAAAAGGCACTTGGAGTTTGCTAAACGGCATCTAAAGGATTCTCAGACCATGAGAAACAAGATTCTCTGGTCTGATGAAACCAAGATTGAACTCTTTGGCCTGAATGCTAAGTGTCACATCTTTAGGAAACCTGGCACCATCCCTACGGTGAAGCATGGTGGTGGCAGCATCATGCTGCTGGGATGTTTTTCAGTGGCAGGGACTGCGAGACTAGTCAGGATCGAGGGAAAGATGAATGGAGCAAAGTACAGAGAGATCCTTGATGAAAACCTGCTCCAGAGCGCTCAGGACCTCAGACTGGGTGCGAAGGTACGCCTTCCAACAGGACAACTACCCTAAGCACACAGCCAAGACAACGCAGAAGTGGGTTCGGGGCATGTCTCTGAATGTCCTTGAGTGACCCAGCCAGAGCCCGGACTTCAACCCGATCTAACATCTCTGGAGAGACCTGAAAATAGCTGTACAGCGATGCTCCCCATCCAACCTGACAGAGCTTGAGACGATCTGCAGAGAAGAATGGGAGAAACTCCCCAAATACAGGTGATCCAAGCTTGTAGTGCCATACCCAAGAAGTCTCTAGGCTGTAATTGCTGCCAAAGGTGCTTCAACAAAGTACTGAGTAAAGGATCTGAATACTTATGTAAATGTAATATTTCACTTTTGTTTGGTAATAATTTTTTGGGGAAAAATCTAAACCTGTTTTTATTTTGTCATTATTGGGTATTGTGTGTGGAGGGAGGGGGGAGGGAGGGGACTATTTAATCCGTTTTAGAATAAGGATGTAACGTAACAAAATTTGGGAAAAGTCAAGGGGTCTAAATACTTTCCGAATGCACTGTCGGCTGCTTCCTAAATGACTTGTTTTTTATTGGCAGTTGCCCTTTATATTTAAATCGCATTCTCCCGCGGATCTTCCACAATGCCGACTAAATCGAACCGTAAATCTGTGTATTTAGGTGCTAATGTGTAAATCTTCTGAGAATAACAAAATATGTGCTGAAGCATGAAGACCCATGCCGAAAGGCGTCAGTGTCTTCTTCTTCTTTAATGTTTTATGGCAGACTACACCTATTGGTGTACTGCCGCCACCTACTGTACAGGTAGCGAACGTAAAATAAAATGTCCATTGTGGGGGGTGGATAAACAACTATTTACATTTACATTTCATGATCCTGCATTGCAGTGATTCATGAATTACTTAAAACTGTCAAACTGACCCATCAAAGTCAGTGGGCGGGGCTAACGCGAATCTAGTCTGATCCATTGCTTTGGTCTGAAGTAGAGTAGGCCAACCTGGATAGAGACAATGGAGGATCTCCGTGAACTTTCCAGGGAGTTGGTTAGAGACATTTTAAACTTAGCAGAGGATGTAGAAGCAGGACCTGCTGACCCAGAGCATGTAGCTAGTAAAGCAGAGGAACTTATTGAAGGTGAATAGCGCCACCCAGTGTATTGGAATGTGTTCAGTAGCTCTGCATCAATCCATTATCCGGAATTGATTTGTCTTGGCTTGATGCAGAGGGTAACCAATCAGGCGTTAGGTTCCGCCTACCAACTTTTGATGGGTCAGTTTGACAGTTTTAAGTAATTCATGAATCACTGCAATGCAGGATCATGAAATGTAAATGTAAATAGTGAAATAATTAAATAAAAAATGTATCCCCACCCTTTCAGTGATAATCCAAATCACATCCCTACACAGGCTCGGGTGCCTGTGTGGACTGAACATTCATTGACATTGTAATGCCTCTGCTGTAAAATCCCTGAGTCCCCAAAAACTTTCAGTCACACTCAGACTATTTTCTCAGATTTATTCTTTGTTTGCGCTGTGCGGTTTATAACCAATGCAAAAAACGATACAAAGTCCACCTTTTTAATATGCAACATGTCAGGATCCTGTTGACAAGTAACACTTACTGATGTCTCTAATCCAACTACCATGGTTTCTTTAACGTTACTCCCTCCTTCCACTCTTCTCACCGCCTCCAGATAGGCGACATGCTAGACAGCCCTTATTCTTGCCACTTAGGTCTCCTTCACCCTAACAGGGCACTTCATGAATTCTGGTGCATGCTCGCCACCACAATTGCAGCATTTCGCCTCAAATGGCATATGGATACTCCTCCCGTCTACATACACTTGACACATGTCCAAATAGTTTACATTCATCACACTGCAAGGGTTTGGGCAGGTAGGCTCTTACAGGATATCTCACATAACCCAAATATAGGTACGAAGGGAGAGAGTCTTCTTCAAATAACAACATAATGGATGGAATGCACTTCCTCACTCCATCCACCATACGGGTCAGTCGACGTTTACCAGCCACTGCATCTACCTACTTCTTCAGTTACATCCTCTGCACTCACTTTTAGCACATCTCCAGAGAACCCCCTTTTTAGGCGCCCTACTTCGCTGAGCCACACACGACACATTCCAATCAGATATCTTTTTCAGGTGCAAAGCACGCTCCTTCTGCTCCTCGGACAACCCCCCCCCCCCAAATAAACCAATGTCTTGTTATTTTCACTGACGCCACCTCATCTAACGCATCTATAATTTCATCGAGATTTCAAACGGATCTCCCAGGTATCTCGATCGATCCAAAACCCTCACTCCCGACTAAAAATGAGTCAGGACTAGGTTTGGATTTACTAGACTCCACGACCACTTTACTTCTCTTGTTTCCTTTTTTATTCGCCACTGTAATCCATTCCTTCTCACTCTCATCTCAACTCGACGCGCCATCAATTTCAAACAAAACATCCGCCATCTTCTCAAGCTCCAACGTCACCGGCCGGCGTCAGTGTATTCTACTTCTTCTTTAAAGTGTTATGGCAGGCTACACCTATTGGTGTATTGCCGCCACCTACTGTACGGGGTTTGAAACAAAACACAAATTATATATTCCATTGCGGGAAGGGACCCGAGATAATACAAAATACACAAATAAATCTAAACAACCATCCCAGTCCTTCAGTCACATTCAAATCACATCCCTACACAGGCTCAGGTGCCTGTGAAGACGGAGCATTCATCGACAGGATTCCTTGTAATGCCTCTGCAGAAAAGTCCCAAGAAACGCTCAGCCGCACTCACAATGATACCTATTTTCTCAGATTTCCTCTCCGTTTGCGCTGTGCAGTTGACAACCAAAGTAATAAATGCTACAAAGTCCACCTTCTTAACATGCAACATGTCTGGATCCCTCTGTTGACAAGGAACATCATCTTGTGTCTCTACTCCTACTACCATTACGTCATCAACTTTCTTCCATTCTTCTCAACGCCTCCGGATAGGAGACATTCTGGACAGCCTTTATTCTTGCCACCTCCGTCTCCTTCACCCTAACAGAACACTTCAGAAAAATCGGGTGCATGTTCACCACCACAATTGCAGCATTTAGGCTCAGCTGTCATATAATACTCCTTCCTTCTACATACACTTGACACATGACCAAATAATTTCCATTTATCACACTGCATGGGTTTG